CCCCAAAACCCCAAAACCCCAAAACCCCAAAACCCCGTCTTAAGAAAATTAGAATAGTATTGAGAAAAATAAAAGAGAGTATAATAAAATTGATTAATATGTTTACAATTGGGGGATGGGCCTTTTTAGCTTCTAGTTATCAGATTATTACTAGTATTCTTATTCTTATATAATATTAATCTTACTCTAGATGCGTAAACCCTTGGAAAAGGCATTAGACACTTGATATAAAAGACAGAGCTTTCAAAAAAGGACCGTTTAAATCTGAAATCTCTTGAACGAAGACTAATATGCATCACCCAGCCATTAAATCACTGCTTAATTTCTCAGCAGTCTTTCAATTCTTTAAAGTCGAAGCCAATTGAGGTGAGTGCAAGCCTAATCGAAGAGATAATTACATTTATCAACAGGGTCAATAACACCCCTAACTTTGTATTCGATGAGGACTTTAGTTCAGAATTAGAGCACTATTGCTAAGAACTTGAGTTTCTTATCCAAACTCTATAAGTCTCAATTAACCTTAACTCAGAATTTGAGAAAAATCTCAGTCCTTAAATGCAGCAAGAATAGTTATTCAAGCCTAATTTGCCTGAGAAACATAGTCTAAGTGTTACAGCATTCTCTAAGGCTTCGCATAGACTTAGGAGTATGAGTTTAGTAACTGGCTATTTACTGGCTTAAAAGGGTTAATTTTTTGCCAAAATAAGCATGCAAAATTCAAAAGACTAAATTGATCATAAATGGATCAATGTTTTTGAATCCTTAAGCGAGTTAAATATAGTCTATCATCCCAAGTACAAAAGGTTTCAAATGGATGTGTGCATACTTGAAAATCATATCAATGAAAGAAATTTAGATAGATCATAGCAATAGAATGGTCTAAATAGGACGCAAAGTAAACACAATTAAAATCTAAAGGTCACAGATTTAAGTGATGATATCGAGTAAGCAATGAAAAGTAAAAAGAAGTTCACTTTTGTTTTGAATTATTCAATGAACACTTGCTCATTGAAATAAGAGTCTATGGAATATCAAGAATTAGAAAGAATTTGCTCTAATAATGAAAGTGAAAATGGCCATATTGAAGCTCCAAAAATCAATCTAGATTAGGAATCGATTTAACTACTAGATATTATCTAGAAGCAGAGTAGAGGTGAATGGATAACTTGGAACTGTTCCTCAGAAGACTTCCAATTGGTGGTAATAAAAATTATTATACAAAGTAATGATTTAGGATGTTTAAAAGCGCTATCCAGATCGATGGATCTAATAATATGCTTTTAGGATAGACAAAAATACTAGTAAATTTGCCTAAAGTGAACTCTTTTCAATAATAGATGTAAGATAGCTAGTTTATACTTAATTAGAATCAAATATTTTTAGATAATATACTTACTCAGACTAAGTGCATACGAGAATGAGCAATAGAAAATATTTGGTCACAGATATCAAAAGTATGTCTCTAACTAATTAGAGTTCAATAAAGAGTAGCGTAAAAGTGAGAAACTTAGAGGAAGAGGCCTGGTTGAAGATGAGATACAAAGTAAAAAAGTAAATGACCCTGATAAGGAACTAGATATCGATGCTGAATTGAATGAGATGCATGGACTAGCTCATCTCTAAGCCTCTGATGAGGAACTGTATTAATTATTGTGCAATTATTGACTTGAATGCTTCTTTAATGCAATTGGTATGGTCTGGAATATAGTGATATGTTAAATAAATTTTATCTAAATACTTCTTAATGTAATCTTACATGATTTGAATACTCCGGGGTTTTGGGGTTTTGGGGTTTTGGGG